ACCATCAAATCAGATCTGACTGGTACGGGAGGAGATTGCCTCTCCTTCTCCAGTAGAGCATCTGGTAGATTTGAACGGTGTACCTCTGGGATTGAGTGCAGTTTCTTGCCACTAGGCCACCAGAGCTCCCTGATATATAATATATTCTTATACAATGCATATGTAAAAATATTTATATATAAGATATATATGCGTGTTATAGATAGCATACATTTATTGTGCATATATTGTGTCTATATAATATATGATGCAGAAGTCTTAATAATTATATATATTATTTATAGTATATACACTTATTGCATATACATTGACTAAATAGAATATGTTTTCTATTTTACATTGTACAGTGTAGACATATATACTCAGATGTATATTGTATGGTTGTTTTTTTTCCAACTGGGGTGCTTGTGCTGCAACTTGAACTCAAATTTAATGGGTAAACTAAAAACAAAACAATAATCAACTACATTTCTGAATGTTTGTTGCTAAAAATATTTGTCTATAAATTTGTGTAAAAATCTGAGGTTTTAGTTAAAGGTGTTCATCTCTTGAAAACCAGAAAATCTATGAATGAAGACTTAGCCCTTTAGTGAGTTCTCACTCTTTTTAAAAATACCTATACATATTACCCTTTGTGTTAGAAAGAAACCTTTCTCATAAAACATAAGCAAAAATCTCCACTTACTTTGGGGAGTTTGGCTGTCATCAGTCAAATCATTGTTTCTGAATGCTATTTCTCATACCGAGATGATGTCTATTTATAACAATCTGCTATAAAACTGAGCTTATTAAAAAAGCCGATAAAGATGGTTTATAAATATTTTCCCTAGTTTAATCTCTAGAGAATGTGCAAGCTAATAAATCTCCCCATAAAACTTGTCATTTTAAAGATGCTCTCTAAATTCTCTCTATAAATAACCCCACGGTATCTTTGAAGGGTATTTGAAAATTGCTTGCTTTCTGAAGGATGCTTAAAGAGGTTAGAGTGCACCATTTTCTTGAATGTTTTGCTAATGACCTAGCCTCCCAATCTGTTTAAAAATCAAATGCATCAATCAACACTTATTTGATGGCCAGTGAATCACAGCATTTCTCCCGGTAGCCTCAGTCACGGTGCTGTAAAACCTACATTCCTTCCCCAGTATATGCTGCATTGAAAAGGAAATACTGTACCTCAGAGAGGCCGGGACAGGAATTGGATAGACATGGATTGTCTCCTTATCCTGGAAGATGCCTGTCTGTATGAAATCATTACCTGGATCCTTGTTGAGAGCACCGTCTCTATCTGATTTCTGGTGAGGAGCTTTTCATAGTTTGCCCTGATCTCATTGAGGAGCTGGGACAGTTCCATTCTTTTCCCATCCTCCACCTTGGCTATCTGAACCTTATCGATAGGATGAGTCCTTGCGGCAGAGCCTGCTCTGGCTGCGTAGCAAGCGGAGACTGAGCCCTGTGGAGCCTTAAAGATACAGAGCTCCTTTTTCAGAAGCTCAGAAAGCTCTGTATTCCTAATTATGCAAATATATGGTAAACTCCTTGCTCATATTGCTGGGGTAATAGCCAAGACTTTCCACCATGCCACAGAAACATGAAAAACTCCTTAGAATTCCTGAATTGATTGCCTATAAAATAGAACATTTGGGGGGTAGCGTCAGGGAGTGGAGAATGAAGTAATTTTTTTGGAATGGAAGTGAACCAAAAAAAAAAGAAAAGAGCAAAGAGAGATCATAATTAGTTTCCCCCAAGATATTGCACAGAAGTAAAAGTAAAACATGACAACTATTTTTTTTAAACTATGCTTCTTAAGATTTGGATTTTTTTAAACAGAAATATGGCAGGTTGTTAGATATGTTGTAAATCGGAAATATTCTGGCAGTTATGGGAGAAAGCTTTCACCAGAGTAAGCTAACAGTTGTCATTAACCAAGGAGTGACAGACCATATTCCTCCCAAATGCTTACTGTGTGTTTCGTAGCAGACTGCTGGCATGGTGGCTGGGTCTCATGTTTGGAGGTGAATTCCTAAAAACAGATTAGAGACAAAGCGAAAGCTTTGTGTTAAGTGCTAACAAGAGTACGACAACTGTGAATGAACATTTCCAGCATATTAAAGAGTTGAAGCAATAAAACCAAATGGTCCCTGTGTAGGATGTATTCCCTGAGGTACAATTTACTGAGGCCGCTCACTCATTAGTAAACACACTTCATGACGATTCATATCTACAAGTATTATATTTTACTGCTCTTTTATCTCTAAGAAGCACGTTTTGTACCCAGCATTTATCTGATCTTGATACTCCTTGATGCAATCACTGTGTTAATCTGTCTTGTTGAGCATCTTCTCTTTTGCTGTTGTTATAGCCCTTACTATCGCTCTTGTCAGTCTCTGCCAACAACATAGATTGCAGAACTAGGTTCAGTAGTGAATGGGTCCCAGTATCCTATATTTTATGCAAACACTATGACCCTCTCCTTATTCCTCTTTCTTAAGTGTTCTAAAGCTTCTCAATAGAAAGATAATTCGAGGCAGAAGCACAGGACAAATATAATTTTGAACCAGCTTTATTTAGTAAAGGAGCCTTGGTACTAAGGAAGGTTAAGTCTTTGGCTGTTAACCAAGAGGTCTGTTGTCAGAACTTTGGGGAAGAAAGATGTGGCAGTCTATGTCTATAAAAAATACAACCTTAGAAATGTTATGGGTCAGTTCTACTCTGGCCCATGGGGTCTCTCAAAGCTGGAAACTACTCAATGGTGCAAGATTTTGGTTCTCTGGCAAACCTTTCTAGTTGCTTAATGAAAAAGATGTAAACAGGCCCCTAGGAAGATGGCATCTTTGGTCTGGCCACAAGTTGATTGGCAGGTGCTGTGACCAAAGCTCTAGATTCCAGGCCCTGCCTCCTGAACTCATCCCTAGGATGTCCAACTGTCCAGAGCCTGCATGTGCCATGGGGTACCCCAGGACCAGGAGTTGGTGGGTTCAGGGACCCTTGGGCAGGGTTCCCGGGGCACCACTCCACCCGCTGGACTCTTTGTCCCCATCCTTGTCTTTCCTCCTGATCTAGTATTCAAGGCCGACCAGGGGAGCAGACTCTGACAGCTGCTAACCCTTTATAGCCCCACAGGAACTGCGCTTTGCTTCTGAGTCTTGTTCACAGCCCCTGCCAAATATACAGTGCTTGGATGCAGAAGGACATGTGAAGCCTCAGTCTTGCATTGATACTGTGATCCCCATCCCCATGTGTCCCCCATCCCCAGCCACTATGACATCCAGGACCGCTTTCACATTGAACTGTCTAAAGAGGGAGCCGAAGGTTGAGTGTTAGGGTGCAAGGACATCACTTTGGTTCTCAGGGCTCCTGCATACCCCCAAGAGCTTCAGATACAGCTGGACTCAGTGCCCCAGCCAGAGCCTCCGGCCCCAATACCACCCTCGGCCAGACACTTCCAGGAGAATGCCCACCCACAACTGTCCACCAGCTCCTTCTTCCTCTTCTTGCTGATGGGCATAGTCTCTGTGGCTTTCCTGCTGCTCCCACTCCAGGATAAACTTGGCATACAGTTGCCCCAACTCCTGCATCTCTCCCTGGGACAGAAGTTGGTGGCAGCCTATATCTTGGGGTCTCCTTACCATGGTGTTGCTGCAGACCTGAGCTCCCTGCTCAGCCTCCACCGCAGCCTCCCTGACCATGGACTTGAGACAGCCATTGTGATGCTCGTAGATAACTTGCCTCAACTCCAACTCCCTTCTTCCTGCCTCACCTTTTGCTCCTAAAGAAAAACCAAACAAACAAACAAAAAATGCCAACCTAGGGATTTGTCCTCATTTTCCAAATTGAATACACTACATTTTTAAAATTAAAGTGAAAAAAAAGAAAAATATATAAACAAACCTAGATACAATTAGTTTCAATAATCTATTTAAACTGATAGTTTCTTAATGAGAAAGAAAACAGTTGACATATAGTGTTGTTCTTGTTATAATCTCTTTTATTGCTGTTGAACTGGCTCAAAGCTGGCCCTCCAGCAGGTTTTCAGAAGCTGTAAGTTGCCCAGGAGGTGATTACCTATGTTTCTGTCTTGGAGCAACTGGTGGATCCAAAATGTGTTGACATTGTAACTTCTTAGCACTAAGCTGCCAGAGCTACATTTTGTTATAATGTTGTTAGGTACCACGGAGTCAGACTATGACTCATAGTGACCTGTGAACAGATCTGAACCTTGTACTATTCCATGTGATCCCTAATCATCTCTGATACACTTGAGCTCCTTGCTACAGTCACTGTGTTAATCCATCTTTTGCCAGCTCTGTCTTTCCAAGCATGCTGCCCTTTTCCAAGGACTGATCCCTCCTAACAACATGATCAAAATACGTGAGATGAAATGTCACCATCTTTGCCTCCAAGGAGCATCCTGGTTACATTTTCTCCACGACACATTTGTTTATTCTGTACTCTTCTCCAACACCAATGCTCAAAGGCATCGTTTATTCTTCTCTGATCCTTAGTCATTGCCCAACTTTAAGATGCATAACAATAACTGAAAAGATGTTGGCTTGAATCAGATGCACCGTAGACTTTAAGCTGACATCGTTTTTCCTTAACACTTTGAAGAGATCTTTGAAAGCATATTTACTCAATGCAAAACATTTTTTTATTTCTTGACAGCTGGGACCAAGGATGTTGATTGTGGATGCAAGCAAGATTAAATTTTTAAACACTATCTTGTTATAATAGAGGTCCTTGCTCTGCAAAGGAGGGCCTTGTTAGAAGGGTAGGATCACAGTGCAGAGATCTCACCTAATCTACTAGGTAAGAAACTGCATTTGAACAAGATCCAGCACGTGGATGCTTGAAAATACCACTTAAAACAACTGATTCTTAACCTTGACTGCACATTGAAATGACTTGGAAATTTTAAAGAATTGTATTGCTTGAGATTCTGATGTAGTTGGTCCAGGATGACCTAAGCATTAGAATGAAAAGATTAACAAAGTTCTAATATGCAGCAAGGTTTGAGAACTGTGGTTATGAAATACACCCCCTTTCCCTCAGATTTCCCTCTCTTCCTCCAGAGTGCATTGGAAGTCAGTTGTTAAGTGTAACTCTGAAACGACTCCCACATCCCATATTGGCAGGTCCCAGCTTTAATGTTGTAGTCAGTGTAGTTCTGAGGTTGTTTACTTTATTTTGGCTTTACCAAATGATCTTTTATTTTGAACTCCCATTCTGTGGAAATGATGTGTCAGATCACATCAGCTGGACTTCTTGCCTTTTCTCCAAAGTGGTGCATTTAAGTCTTTGAGGAGCTTTTATAGCTGTGACTATTTTGTCCTTCATGTCATTTGTCCACGCCTGGATTTACAAAGTCTGCATCCTTCCCACCTGTCCTACTTGTATCCACCTGTTCTCTCATATCCTTCCTCCCACGCTTGAGAGCTCAGGAATGATCTTGCTTCTTCACTGTGCCAGTGGCATAGAAACAGGCCAATTGTCTGTGTCTCCATCTGCCCAGGCACACTGTGCAGTCATAACCTATTTGGCTCTTCCGTTTCCTGGATCTGTGATTTAGGAAGCAGGACATAGTGCTCTCAGTCAGATCCCCCAGACTTTATTCAAGTTTTGTTGCTTTGCAGGGTCTCTGCCTCAGAAGCAGAGTGAAACCCTTTTCCTGAAACCAAGATTTATTACTGTGCTATGCATCAGAAAGCTGGACAATGAATAAGGATGATAGGAGAAAAATAGATGTCTTTGACTTGCAGTGCTGGAGAAGAGCATTGAATATATCATGGGCTGCTAAGAGAACAGACAGATATCTGTCCTAGAGAGAGTAAAACCAGGCTGACCCTTGGAGACAAGGATTTTGGAGCTCCAGCTGATGTACATTGGGCATGTTTACCAGGAGGGGTGTTGTCCTAGGAAAGGGACATCATGTTTGGAAGTGTGAAAGGACAGCACAGGAGAGGAAGACCCTAGATAAGATGGCTTGACTTAGTGACTGGGGTAATGGGTAGGTGTGTCAAGGACAATTAAATTGGTTCAAGATAGAGCAGGGTTCACAACTATTGTACATAGGCTATCTATGAGTCACAAGTGACTTGATGACACATAATAACAACATCACTCTTACCCCTCTCATCTTTTAGTCCAGAGAAAGCCTTTACATTCTTGAGAAAGGGATAGAAACCCTGAGTTTCCCCACAAGAACATATACCCATCTGCTTTGTTCATTGCTGCTTGAGCTTTCTGGCACAGTTCCTGGTGTGAAGTCAGACAATATATTCACCGAATGAATGATATTTCTTTTGAACATTTTAATTGGACCATGTGTCTTCTTCATTCAAAATCCAATGACTGGGAACGTCCTTGCTTTTGTTTCCTCCTCTTTTACTACATGTACCCTGAGGACCTAT